TATATTTTTTTTTTTTTCCAAGTCACAGTCTCACTCTGTCGTCCTAGGTAAAGTGTTGTCGTGTCATGGTAGTTCACAGCAACCTCAGATTCCTGGGCTCAAGCCACCCTCCTGCCCCAGCCTCTCAAGTAGCTGGGACTACAGGCCTGTGCCACCATGTCCGGCTAATTTTTCTATTTTTAGTAGAGATGGGATCTCGCTTTTGCTCAGGCTGGTCTGGAACTCCTGAGGCTCAAGTGATCCTCTGGCCTCAACCTCCCAGAGTGCTACGATTACAGGTGTGAGCCACTGCGCTCAGCCTCTTTCCTATATTCTCATTTGATCCTCACAGCAACCCTGTGATTGTGACATAATTAAACTGGGGCTCAGCAGAGACTCGCCTGAAGTCACAACATAGCTCATCGTGATGGTGCCCACACCAGGACTTAGGTCGTCTGACTCCCCAAGTCCAGTGAGCTTCCTACTGTAACATTCTTTCTTCTGTAGCTGGAAGACTTTAAAGCAGCTTCAAAAAACTTCATTTATCACTTTTTTTAATCATTGTGAAACATCAGAACCCAAGAAATTTAATAACAAGTATTTAGAAAGCATAAGGAATGTATCACTAAATACTATAGACAAAATGGAAGAACTTCAAAATATTTTGCCCCCATAAGCTCTAAAAGAAACAAATGCAGAAAGAAAACACTACAGTTCTAGCTCCTTCCCGGGTATACACTCTTGACCAAGAGCCAGGACCCTCCCAGTCACCACAGCCTGCTTCTCTGTAAACCCAAAAGGCCCAAGTCAGCAGGCTCAATCTCCCCCACGTCCTCTGACACCCTGAAACACCTACTACTCCCTTGGAGACAGCTCTCATTTATGACAGCAAGCAAAAATGGTTGGGCTTTTCACATTATGTTTTTCATAGGAAAGGAAGGAATGTTAGAAAAAAAAAAAGAAAAAGAACACTATTTACTGTCTAGAATACATTTTTATATATTTAAAAGCCTTTTTCTACACTCAATTTATTCCACAACCACTTTTAAGTATCTACTATGTCCCAGATTCATTATAAACTCCATGAGGGCTTCCTCTTCTGGTATCCTTGCTGCTAAATCCTATTTTAGACATTGACAATATAAAACTGAATTAGCCTACCCATAAGGCGGCTACCAAAACAAACACACATTACTAAACATAAGGCAATATAAGTGTTACATAAATGCATGCACGAAGTGCTACGGCAGTAAAGAAAAGCAGACAGACTTAGGAAAGTTGAAAAGGCTTTACGAAAAGTTGAGCCTTGAAAGATTAGTGGGATTCAGTAAGGCAGAAGAAACAATATGTGCAAAAATACAGAGGAATGACAACGCGCTGGTGGGGCAGAAAAGTTGGGTTTCGTTAGAAGAGGTTCGCTGATGGGGAAATGACAGGAGACAAGGCTGGAAAAGGGAACTGGAGCCACAGACTACAAAGGTCTTCAAATAAAATGCTAAAAAAAACTGGACTTTATTGTGCAGGCAATTCTGGGCATCACCTAGTTTTTAAGCAGGCTCATTACATAATCAAATTTACACTTTAGAACAGTGACTCTGGAGGTATGCTGGAGGATGGACAGACATGGAGATTGTCAGGAAAACAAGTCAGAAAGCCACTGGCACAGCCCAGGTGAGAGTTGGCGAAGACCTGAGAGCAGCAGAAATTGGGCAGAGAGAGCAAGTAAATACCAACAACGCTTTTTTGACAAGACTGGAAGAGCAAGATAAAAGAGAAAGAGCAGCAAAGATAACTGCCAATTCTAGCAGAACATTAAGAGAGACGACAATGTCATTAACCATGTTAAGGAGTAAATGAGAAAGGGGTTTTGTTTTAACTACTTTTTCCCGGAGTGAGGGGGAGGCCTAAAGTTTCAGTTTGGAAAATAATTTTTGCTTTGATTTTTAGTTACCTGTGGAATACCAGGTTAAGTTCCAGGGGTACTTTGAAATATGACACTGGTCTTCGAAAGGCACAGGGCTGACAGTTGAAGGTATGAGATTTGAGATGCTTAGGTGATAAATTTCTAGGAGTAGGTAATTTCATAGCCAGAAGAGCAAAGACAGAATCCAAATTCAGTTTCCAAATAATAACAGCCTAGGAAGGACAGAGGGATATGATAAACAGACAAAAGATGATGGCAACAAATCTGAAATTAGAATTCTAAGTCTAATACCAATAGTTTGGTGTCCACACACACTCACAAATCACACAACACGTCAAATGATCAACACCCCAATGAGTATGGCTGAATGCTCCATAACCATGGAATACGTGAGAAAAAGGCAAGACAGCCAGGTAGCAAATCACAATGTCGATAACGACTACATGGGAAGTTAGTAAAGGCCAGACCACAAACTCCAAAAGCCTGCACAAAAGAAATGGGCAGCCCAACCAGGAAAACAGCTAGACCCCAGAAATAGCTCTATCCGTCAGCTTACTCGGTAGATCCCACTGTGCTTTTGCTCCAGAAAATCACAAGGGCTGTGGGACAGATTCACATACATTATTATCTAGCTATCCAGACCAGGGCCAAAATAAGTACATAAAGAAGACAGAAGAGGTAGAATTGGATTTAGAACACCAATTAAGTAACCAATTATCCTGGACTCAAATATTCCAGTCTATTGTGAACCCATGTGTCCCAATTATGTTTAAAATAACAGAGAAACTGGAGACATAATGCAAGAGACAATGTCATTTGTAATTGGGTTAGAGGAGAGCAGAGAGAAAAGAGTATGAAGCTACCAGATGCCTCAACTTCCAGTTTGTATTGACTCCAGCATTGCTCTGCAATTCTAAACTTTTGTGCATTTCAAAGTGCTTTTATACCTTCTTCTTGTTTTTTTTGAATGACAAGAGACAATGGAGCAACAACGCCGGCAAAGCTGATACCTGGACCTAGTTCAGTTTCCAGTGACTACCCATATAAGCAAGTTACCTTAACCAAATTGAATCTGCTCACGAGTAGAATGGGCTTATTTTCATGCGCTCATACCAGAGGTCTTTATTCCGCCTCCCCTTATTGTGGCACAGTGTCAGGCACTAGCAGACACTTCAATAGATCTCAATAGATCCTACCGTCCTTCCTTCCAGAAGGCTTTATAACCTATATACTTCCATGGTAAAATCACTAACTTCCTTAGGCCTCAATTTCCCCATCTCTAAAACAGAGTGATTCCTTACAGGGTTGTTTGCAGATTAAAGTGCTTTGTAAACCTGACTACAATATAAAATGTAAACGGTAATTGCTTTTAGGCCTGGCAAATAATAGCGACTCCCATTTTAACCCTAAAGGAACTGTAGACACCAAGAGTTTAAATGACTAGCACCTACTAAGGTCGGGTAAGGAACCCAACGCCCACTCTAACCTCTTCCACCACCCATACAGCTTGCTCAGATCTCCACGTACCCTCCCCAAAAGTTCCAGGCCTTCCCACGGCACCTTAGTCTCCTTATATTCAGGTCAGAGAGAGGGAGGCTGCAAAGGAAAGGGGGGCAAGGGGCAGCATAAAATGACTCGCCCAAGGTCAAACGTCGGAGCGGGCAGGAAACCCTGGCTCGCCTGCAACGGAGGCCGCGTCCCCCGGGCATCCTCCTACAGCCCCCGAGCAACGACGAGCTGCCCGTCCTGGGCCTCGGGGAGCAGCGCGGGGCCGCACCCGGCTCGAGCTCGGCTGGCACCCCGGCCTGCCCATGCACCCCGCCGCTCCCCGCACCTGCCCATGGCCGGCCGGCCCCACCCCCACGCTCGGCCCCGCACCCAGCGGCCCCACCCCCGCGCCGGGACCCCAGCGCAGGACCCCGGAAAGCTGAGTTTCCCACGCGGCGGCGCCCCGCCCGCGCTCCCTGCCACGTCTGCGGCCTCACGCACTACGGCGCTCCGCACCGGGGCCCCCGCCGCCGCCGCCGCCACCGGGCCCGCGCCGCCGGCCGCCCAGCCCAGCGACCCCCAGCAGCCAGCTCCTCCTCGCCCGGACCGCGAGCCCGAGACGGCCGCCGACTTCCTCCGCGAGCTCCGCCCCACCGTAGGCCCGGGAAGCGCCCGCCGCCGGAACGGACAGACGGACGGCGCAGCCAGTCGGGACGCAGGACCGGAGGGGGCGTGCAGACGGACGGCCCCCGCGACCAATCGAAACGCGCTATCGGAGGGGGCGCGGCCACTTCTACCGAGCCACGCCCCATATGCGCTTCCGTTCGGGCCGCGGTGGCGAGGGGAAAGTTTCCCAGAGTTCCTCCGAGCTGCCCGGGTGCCCGCGGGCCTGTGGCGGCCGAGGGGCGGGGACGAGGCGGCCGCGGGAAGGGTGGTGAGGGGGGCACCGGGTGACGGATGACCGGGTGAGGGGGGCGAAGACGGCGCGGCCGCGAACCGGGTGAGGGGGTGACCAGGTGAGGGGAGCGAAGACTGGGCGGTCGCGGGCAGGGTGAGGAGAGAACTGGGTGAGGCGGACGGGCACGGGGAGGCCGCGGGACTGTGAGGGGCGGGCACGGGGCGGCCGCGGGCCGGTGAGGAGGGACCCCGGGAGGGGTGAGCACGGGCACGCCGCGCGGCCTCCAAAGCCACCCCTTCCCAGGCGTCATGCGGGGCAAGGCCCAGCGCGCCCCTTCTAGGCTTCTCCGGCCCACCTCAGGGCTGGGCGGTGGAACAGCGCGCCCTACCCTGTTGTTTTCAGCCCCAAACCACCCTGGTGCAGGGGCAGCTCCGGAAGCGGACGCGCCCGCGTACCCGGCGCCGCGTGCCCTCCCGCTCCCAGAGCCGTGGGCTCCGCGTAGACGCCTTGACGCCCCTGGGAAGGCGCCCCTGCAGCGCGCTCGCCACCTACTGCCCCGTCCCCTGAGGAGTCGCCTCCCCACGCTGGGGCCGGGGCGCCTGGGGAAGGGTCACGTGCGGGAAGCGGAAGCCGGGCTCGCTCTGGGCTTCTCCCAGCCGGACCGCCCGAATCCCTCCCACCCGCTGCCAGCCTGGCCACGGTCATGGCTCCGCCCGGAGACCCGCGGCGCCTCTGCAGGCTGGTGCAGGAGGGCCGGCTGGGCGCCCTGCAGGAGGAGCTGCAGGTGGCCGGTGGCTGCCCGGAGATGGCCGGGGACACTCTCCTGCACTGCGCCGCTCGTCACGGGCGCCAGGACATCCTAGCCTATCTGGCCGAGGCCTGGGACATGGACATGGAGGCTGCAAACCGAGACTACAAGCGGCCTCTGCACGAGGCCGCCTCCATGGGCCACCGGGACTGCGTGCGCTACCTGCTGGGCCGAGGGGCGGTTGTCGACTGCCTGAAGAAGGCGGACTGGTAGGTGGCGGGGTCCAGGAAGACACCTTGTCTCCCCATTCCCTGCAGAATCGTAGGCACGATATTTCCGTGTACTTTGTCCGTCCCCTTGGACACCATAGCTTTTCTCAGCAACTAGTTCTCACCCCAGGCCTGCTCCGTGGCAGGGTCATCCTACCTTCCCCTGTAGCACAGATGACCTCCGTTGTACTTTGTTTCTGCTCTTGTGGGTTAACTGGTCCAGGCAGTCACTTCCCTTTGTGTAGAACATAATCAAGTAGAATGTAGTCGAAACAATGGATTATGTGTATTACATATGGCCCCGGGATGCAATGTTCTGGGGACTTCTGGCTAAATTACTACTGCACCAATTGCATTGTTTTAATTGGCATTGCTGCAATCAATATCCTTACTCAGATTTCATCAGCTGCACGTGTGTTTGTGCGTGTAGAACACTATGAGATTTTATCACCCAGGTGTAGCCTTGCAAAGCCACCACCACAATCAAGATGCTTTACTGCACCATCACAAGAACGAGTTACATTTTGTTTTTTAGATTAACATTGTTTTTATTTTTTTATTTATTTTTTTTTTAGAAACAGCGTCTTGCTTTGTCGCCTAAGCTGAAGTGCCGTAGTGAATCATAGCTCACTGCAGCCTCCACTCCTGGGCTTAAGTGATCCTCCCACCTCAGCTTCCCAAGTAGCTGGGACTACAGGTGTGCACCACCACACCTGGCTAATTTTTATTTTGGGGGGGATGGAGTCTTGCTATGTTGCCCAGGCTGGTCTCCATCTTCTGGCCTCAATTAATCCTACTGCCTAAGCCTCCCAAAGTGCTAAGATTATAGATGTGAGCCACCATGCCTAGCCTTGGCATTGTTTTTAGTACTCACTGTGTCGGGTTCCTTAGAGGTTGTGAACCTCTTAAGGCTCAGGAATATACTGAAGTACATCTTCCCATTTGGTCAGGGGTACAGACCTGGTAGTTTTGAGGATTGTCTATGGTTTTTATTAGCTATGCTCCAGTTCACTGTTATCTGTGACGTGGTTCATAAGCAGCTTGGCCTCCCAGGAACGCCCTTCCTGGAGGTGCACGTTCATCACAATCATTTTCCCCTTGTTATTTCTCCCAGGGTCCTCACAGCAGTCAGAGAAGTTGCCAGTCAAAGCTCTGGCTTCCCAGACCCCTGAACCCTTTAGGTTTTCCATCTGTGCCAAAGATATGCATTTTCAGAAGACCTGGCCCCTCACTTTTCATGTCTCAGCTGCTTCTATCTGACAGCTGGTCCTGGTTGGCCTTAGGACTCCTCTGATGATGGCCTGCACAAGAAAGAATCTCGAGGTGATCCAGGACCTCGTGGAACATGGCGCCAGTCCTCTCCTGAAGAACAAAGATGGCTGGAACAGTTTCCACATTGCCAGTCGAGAAGGCGACCCTCTGATCCTCCAGTATTTGCTCACTGTTTGTCCAGATGCCTGGAAGACAGAGAGCAAAATTAGAAGAACTCCTCTGCACACTGCAGGTACAAACTACAGCTCTGCTGGCATACAGGTACACATGTGCAGCCCGCCTCACCCAGCACTGCCGAAACCTCATCTCGTTCAAGTCACCTGCAGGGGAACAGAGGATTTTGGAAAACAGAGGTCAGAAGATAAGAGCATTTGGGGGCCTTTTGCCATAGTTATTTTCTAAAGCTAATGTAACTTGGCTACCATGCTCTTCTGGTATTAGTTCACTTTTCATATCTGTCTGTCTTATCCTCCCTAATTAGTTAGCTGGTAAGCTGGTTCTGTTCCTTGTAAAGTTCCTTGGGAAAGGAAATTAGTCTCTCTCATTGGCAAAAGAATGATGGTAATGATGCCCATGTCACAGGGTTGTTTTAGGGTTTAAGGAGCATGATATATGTAAATCCTTCAGAAGATGCTTGGTACATAGCCAGCACAAAGTAACTGGTTCCTGCTATTTTCTTTATCATTTCCACATTGTCATTACTAGAGGCAGGCGGGAAAGAGACTATATTTTCTCATGTCCTTAGTAACACCTACTACAGTGCTATACGTTTAAATAGATCCTTATAATTAAATACCTGGGTCCAAGTGTATTTGACTTATGTAGTGATAATGTCAAATATAAATTAGGGGTACAGTTTTCATTATGTGGAGTAGTGATCCTTAACTCTGAATTATCTATTTATAGATTATTTTAAATTAGTAAAAAATAAAATTGCTGTGATGTCAGAAGTGGATATTAAGGAGCCCAAGAGTACAAATCAAGAAATTTAGAAAATAACGTTTAGCCTTCCAGGTAACACATTGAATTAGGATACAGGACTTTTTGTTTCTGTAAAAACCAAGACCTGTGATATCATATAGTCTAGGAAATATACATGTAATCATTCTCTAGCCACAGCTGGCCATTAAGGACCAAGAAAACCTTTTTAAAACTTGACAAGAAAGTAGAAAAACTTTTCTGTAGCTTGTGAATCATTTGACCAGCTTCCTGGAGAAACAATTAGCACCCCATCGTTCACCCAAAATAGTGGAGGACAGATAGTCAAAATCTTTGTTATGCAGTATAGTTACTTTTAGCAGGAGAATTAAATTAGTAGCACACCTTGCTGCTAATTCACACATAGGTTGAGATGTATTCACTTCCACTATAGCTTTCAACACATTGTTATCCACCTTGGTTTCAGGTCTCCCACATGGCTCATTTTCAAGATTAAAATCACCATAACAGAACTTCTTAAACCATCGATGTACTGTATGCTCATTAGCCATGTCCTTCCCAAACACTTTGTTGATATTTTGAGCACTGCATTGGTTCCACAA